CCAAGTCCATCCACCACTGACCACTGGTTCTTCCTGCAACCAGAGAGGAGCCGAGTTAATGCCCCTGGTGTGTACACGGTGTCTCTTCCTTCCTGGCCCAGATCCAACTTGTGGTGTGATTTGGAGCATTACACAGCCTCTGGGTTGTTACCTAACACACGAGGACATGATTTGCCTCTCAGGGCTCAGGGTTATACTTCTCCCCATTTGTGACAATTCTGGCATAAAGCAGTTTCTCAGGAAATTGGAGGATCGCCCCAGCTCCAGCCCCCAGCCCCAGCCCCAGCCCCAGCCCCACTGGGCACTTCCCTTTCAGAATCTCCTCTGAACTTTGGACCTTCTCAGGTGGTCCCCTACCTTGGTAGCAGGTGAGCAAATCCCCATGCCGGAGGAGCTGTTACAGTCTAGATTAGGGGGTGGCTGGGTTTCATCTTCAGGACGAAGAAAGGCTGAGGAGCAGGAATTCGGAGCCGAGGAGACCGTGAGTCGCAGAAGGCAGAAGGCAGAAGGCAGCGGGAAGTTGCTCCCTGCACAGGTGACCTGAAAAGCACTTTAACGGGAGATTAGGGGTGAATGGAGGAGCCCTGAACCTGTGCCTTGGAAAAGGTGCTTGTGGGCCCGAGGTGGGCTGTGCGCCTGACCTGCCTGGGGGAATTAACTGTCTTTTCTTCTTGGGGACCAAGGACCGTTCAGCCACTTCAAACATTGGAGAAGAGTTCTCCGGGAGCATTGGTTCTTCGCGCCCACTGGTTCTTTGAATAAGATCAGCCCCAGACGCAGGCAGATAAAAAGCATGAACCGCCGTGGCCACTGTTACCATCACGTACACGAGACTGGAGTTCAGGCATGCCGGCCGAAATGAGGCAACTCCCCTGTCAAAACAGTCGGCTTGGGGTTGGTTTTTTTTTTTTGCCAAACTTGGCCTTTTTGTTGCTCTAGAATTGTTTGCAAAATAAACCTCAGAGAAAGAAGTGGTTCCCTGCATCTCGGGGTTGCTCACTGCACTGGCTTTCTCTAGCGGCCATCACCACCCAACCAAGTAAGACATGACACAAATGTGCGATCTTAGAGTTCTCCAGGGCAGAGGTTCTGCCGGGTCTCACGGGGCTGAAAGCAGCGAGCAGGCAGGGCTGGTTCCTTCTGAAGGCTCTCGGGGAGCGTGACTCCTTGCCCTCTCCAGCTTCTCGAAGCTCCTGCCTCCCTTGAGCTGTGGTCCCTCCCCCGATCTTGGAGACCAGCAACGTTGCATCTTCTGCCTTCTTCTGTCGTCACATTTCTTCCGATCACCAGAAAAACCACATCCACTCTTAAGGATTGATGTATTGCCCTGGTCGATTTGGTTCGGTGGTTAGAGCATGGGCCCTTGGACCAAAGAGTCATGGGTTCGATTTTGGTCAAGGGCACATACCTCAGTTGTGGTCAGGATCGTGTGGGAGGCAACCATCGATGTGTCTCTCTAATGTCGATGTTTCTCTCTCTCTCTCCTCCTTCCTCTCCTCCCCCTTCCTACTCTATCTGAACATAAATGGAAAAATATCCTCAGGTGAGGATTGGGAAAAAAAAAACAAAAAAACTCGATGTATTTAGATCAGGCCCACATGGATAATCCATCTCAAAATCCGTACCCATAATCACTTCTGCAAAATCCATTTTGCAATGCAAGGCGGCATATATTCACAGGTTCCAGGGATGGGGGTGTGGACAGCCGTGGGTGTGGACACCTCGTGGGGGGCCATTAGTCTGCCAACATACCCCTTTTTCCTCAGTGGTCTTTCACAGTGCATTTCACTTCTTTGCAGAAAGACCATTTTCATTGTCATGGGTAATACGGCAAAACCAGAATTTTTTCAAGAATTTTAATTTTTTTAATCCTCACCTGAGGACATTTTTGCATTTATCTTCAGATAGAGTGGGAGGGAGATAGGGAGGGAGAGAGAGAGAGAAGCATTGATGTGAGAGAGACACATCGAGTGGTTGCCACCCACATGACCCCAACCGGGGCGGGGGACAACTGCAACCGAGGTACGTGCCCTTAGCGGGAACCGAACCCAGGTCTCTCTGGTTCGCCGGCTGATGTTCTAACCGTAGAGCCAAACCAGCCAGGGCTTAATTTTTAATTCCATTTTATATTCTGAATATTTATATATAGAAAAGTGCATAAATCACAGTTACAGCTTGATTTTTATAAACTGACACACCCATGTAATCAACACCCAGACTGAGAAACAGAACATGGCCTGTGGCCCCAGAAGCCCCGTCCTGTCCTCAAGTCCAAAACAGAGCTTCACATTTGCTGACATGAAGACATTCCCTACGCGGGCGTTACCTGGAGTGTTATTGAAATAAAAAAGAGAGAGGCCAAGTGATGTTCATTTATTCATTAAGCAAATATGTTCTGGCACCTGCCCTGGGCCGGATGCCTGGAAATACGGACTGATCGACTCAATGCTGGTCCTATGGCACAGGATCTATAGAGGCAACCGTGGGGGGTGGGGGGAGTGGGGTACAGGAAGGGAGACTGTAATGTAGACAAGAACACAAAGGCATGGGCCAAACTTAACCAGAGGCTTTTCAGGGGAAGCTGGCCTTGGGGAGCAGGGATGTCAAGCAAGGAGAACAGCATGAGCAAAGGGATATAGTGGGAACAGGGAGGGCTCCTGAGTTTGGGAAACAAGCAAGCTATGACCATTTCCCCGGCTCCCATTTCAGCCATCCAGACTCAGAACTGGAGGCCTCACCTCAGGCCACTGTCCCATTTTACAGATGGGGACTCAGGCCTGGAGGAGAAGGATACACCCTTGGCCAGTCATTTACTTCCCCAAATCCCCCCTCACTCCACAATTCTATTTTTTTTTTTATCCTCACCCGAGGATATTTTTCCACTTTTTGTACAGATAGAGTGGGAGGGGGAGAGAGAAAGAGAGAGAGAGAGAGAGAAACATCGATGTGAAGGGACACATCGAGTGGCTGCCACCCGCACGACCAACCAGGGCCGGGGACAAACTGCAACCGAGGTACGTGCCCTTAGCGGGGACTGAACCCGGGTCTCTCCGGTCCACAGGCCGGCGCTCTAACCGCTGAGCTAAACTGGCCAGGGCACTCCACAATTCTTTACAGAGCCCCCCACCCTGCAACCCCAAGCCTAGTGCTGGGGATCCAGAGGGGTCAGACACCGGCACAAAATTAGAAGGGAGGCCTGAAGTAGGACCCAGACCACCCATGTCCTGCGCTAGGGCTGTTCCCATACCCCACGGTCCCCAGCCTCCTTAGTGCCTCTTTCAAGAAGACCTCCTTGCTTCCCTATCAGCCTTCTCATTCATTCATCTCACATTTATTTACTTACTGGGCACCCACCATGTGCCAGGCAACCTTCTAGGCATTGGGAGTACAACGGATCAGACCCAGAGCCCTTCCTCAGTGGGGAGGTCAGGCAAACGCACAGCTATATAACATGACGTGAGAGTCGAAAGTGCTGCGCTGTGAAGAAAAATCAAGCAGGGTAAGGGGCCAGAGAGGGAGAGAAGGTGGTGTTTAGGGAAGGTGGTCAGGGAAGGCTCTTGAGGAGATGACACAGGATACAGCAAACCGACCAGGAAACCCACGCGTTTCATAAGGAGGGGCAGAGGGCCCAGGGACCGGGGGTCTGCGGAACGCAGGCTAGTGTGGCTGCAGGGGATGACGCTGGAGACCTGGCCAGCTGGGACCCCAGCACTGTCTCCATCTCCGTCGCACCCTGTCCTGGGAAGCGGGCCACCAGGGTGAGGTCTGGGGAGGCCTCTGGTTCCCTCACCCAGATCTTCCTCTGTCAGCAGGCCCGGCACACGGGAGATGCCAGGCCAGACCTTGACCGTCCTGGAGATCACATGCCCAGCTGACCTACGTCTCCCTCAAACCTACTCAACACTCGAGGGCACACCCCATGGCACAGCTGAGATAACAGGCTCGGAGCCCTTCACAACACCTGCGCTGTACCGGAGTCAGTGGGGCGGGAAGGGTTTTGCCACCGTGCCCAGGAGACTCCTTAATGGGTGGGGGGTGGGGTGACCTATTTCTGGGTTCTTCGAAGGAAGCTCTCAGCTTGATGGAGGGAGGCAGAGTGACAATGAGCGGGGCGGGGGACAGAGTCCCTCTCGCGCGGGGCTGCGGTCGGAAGTAGGGGGTAGGAGGTGGGGAAGGTGCGATGGGAGGGGCTCAAACTGTTGGACAGGGTTCAGGAGCAGAAGTCGGTTTCCGGAAGGGCCCTGGGGCCTGGGCCTGGAGAAGGTGAGTGACCACAGGGTGGCGGGGCCGGGGAAGGTCAGGAGGCCCTGGGCTGCGGGACGAGGCGGGATCACGAGGCCCACTTGAGGAAGACCGTGGGGGCCCAGGCGCGCCTCCTGGAAGTGGGCGGGGCCAGAGCAGGCCGCGGGGTGGGGGTGGGGGTGGGGCAGGGACGGCGGGCGAGGACTCTGGGCGGAGCAAGCGGGGTGGGGGCGGAGCCTGGAGAACCAGGGGCGGGTCAGGGAAGCCGAAGGTGAGTCGGAGGGTGGACGGGAGGCGCTGCGGGGCGGGGCCTGAGCTGGGGGCGGGGCCTGAGCTGGGGCGGGGCGAGAGGGCGGGGCGGGCGAGAGGGCGGGGCGGGGCGGGCGGGCGAGAGGGCGGGGCGGGCGGCCGGCCGGCGGCGCGGAGGCTCGGGGGCGGAGGCGGCGCAGGAGTGCGCTCGCTACTCTCGGCTCGGCGGGTGGCGGCGGCGGCGGCGACGCGCACAAAGGCGGATTGTGGCCTCGCTGGTGCTCGCGGCGGGCGGCGCCGGGGCGGAGGCGGCGGGGCACGCCGGGGGCCCCCGCGGGCGCGGCGCGGGCGATGAGCCGGGGCCCGGCATGGCCTCTGCGCGGCCGCCGGGCCGGGCCTGCGCCGCGGCGCCCGCGCCCGCGGGGCTCCGGGTCGGGTCAGCTGCCCTCCCCGCCGCCGCCGCCGAGCCTGCGGGCAGCGCCGAGGCCGAGGAGCGCTCGCTGCAGCACATGCTGCGCGCCATCGCCGAGGAGCGCGGCCGGCTCAGCCTGCGCCGCGAGGTCTGCGGCCTCGGTGAGTGGGGCCGCCGGGGGCGAGGCCGGGCGGCGGGCCGGGTGCGCGCGTCTCCGTCCCTGTGCGTGTCTCTGTCTCTTCGCGTGTCTCTGTCCGGGCGCGTGTCTCCGGGGCTCCCTGCGTGTCATGTTTTCCAACAGGCACCCCAGGCCCCCGCGTCCGCATCTTCCCGTGTCCCTGTGTCTCCGTCTCCGATGTTGGCCCCAAGAGCGGCCCACAGGCTCAGTTCCCCTTGTCGCTTTCTGTTTCCCGGGTCACTCAGTGTCTCCCTCTGTTCATCTTCCTCCTTCCTTTCCGTGGCTCTGTCCGGCCCCTTCCTTCTCCAGGAAGTCCTCCCCGGGGCCTCGGGGCCTCAGTGCCGCTGCAGAGAGTGTGGGCGCTGGATTGGGGGACCCTCAGCTCTTCATCGCAGAACCAGGGCCCCGCGGCTCTGGGCGGCCCTCCCTGCAGGTGTGCCCTGGTCCCTGTCCCCAGCTGACAAGGAGGGCCATGTCTCCTGCTTCCTGAAGCCTTTGTCTTCCAGCACCTGTCTGCACCCGCCGGTTCCGCCTGACCCTTGGCTCTAACTGGGGACCTGTTGGGCTGTGGTCTCCTGAACCTACCTGCTTGGCAGGGGGAGCAGTCCTGCTGCCCCTCTGGTTGTGATTCCGCCCTCAGGAGGCCCTAAGTCATAGATGTGCCAGTGGGGTGGGGTGGGGTGACAGTGCCTCATTGTTGGAACCGGCCTGGGACTGCAGGTGTGGGTGGGGTCTCCCGGCGTGGCTGGGTGTGAGGTCATGCTCCTGATGGATTGATGCCGAGGAGCCCCCTCCCCTGTAATGTCGGGTTTGCCATTTTCTCCATGACAAGACCCCTCCCTTCTTCATGCGGGAATGACTTCATAGCTCAGTGTCTGCCGCCCCCACCCCACCCTCATCCCTAGTCTGGGCAGGGATTTCTGAGAAGGTGACAGCATTGTGGAGAAGGGAATGTCAGCTGTGGAGATTCTGCCAGTTCACCCTTCATTCACCACTGGGGAAACTGAGTCCCAGAGAGCCAATGGATCCTAAAGTCACAAGGCATCAGGGGCATGGCAGCCCCCATCCACCCAGGCCCCTCAGCAGGCCACACCCTGGAGAATGGATGAGGAGAGGAAATAAATTCCAGTCCTCCTTTGTGTAGGAGGCAGGCTTAAGACACTCCCCTCAGAGAGAAGGTCCCAGCCCAGCCTGCCCTGGGAGTGAAGCTGTCCTGGGGGGGGGGGGGGGGCGCAGATGCCTACAAAGTGGGGATGGAGGAGGGGTTGAGGACATAGGTTTCTCTGGTTTCTTTTCTGCAAAGTGTCATGACTTAGTTTTGAGCAGAAATGGAAAGATCTGCATTAATTCATTCAGCAGACACTCACTGAGTACCTACTGTGTGCCAGCAGCCTGGCAGGCCCACCTGTCACCTGGCACAGGCTGTCTGAAATGGGAGGGGTCTGAGGGACCATCTGCTCCAGCCCTTTGCTCAGCAGCTCTGGGCAGCCCCTCCCCACGTGCTCCTGCTGTCCTCTGACCTCTGAGCATCTCTCTCCCCTATTAGACAGTCCCTGCCGCAAGGAGCCCAGAGGGTCATCTCCTAAGGACAATAATAATTGTTCTAGTAGCTGGCATTTAGTGAGCCCTTACTATGTACCAGGTACCCTATGTGTGCTGTCAATTTGATACTGGAATATTATTTCCATTTCACCGACCAGGTGGCTGAGTTTCAGAGAGGCAAGAGACTTACCCAGAGACAGCAGTGAGGCTATGGCACAACTGGGATTGACCCTTGGTCAGTGTGACCCCAGAGCCTGCCACATTCCCTCCACCCCCAGTGTGCCCGCCAGGCCTTGCTGCACCTACTGTGCTGCATCTGGGGAGAACTGTCCCCTAGTAGTGGGCCGAGGGCAGAGCCTGGTGGCCACGCTATCTGTGTTTCCTCCCCTCCCTCCAGGCTTCTCACGCACAGGCCTCCCTGTCTCACCCCTCACCCTGCTTCGTAGCCCCCTGAACTCAGTCCCTGCCTGCTCGGATGCTCTGCACGGTCATGCCTGCCATTTCCCCTCCTGGAAGGCCACCCCCACTCACCTGCCCTGCAAACACCTGGAGGTCTCCCCTCAAGCCTCAGCCTCAGCGCGGTCCCCAGGCACCCTTCCTCCACTCCCTGTCCCGCTGCCCATGCCCAGTGTACTAGGGACGTGTCCGCTGGACGATCAGGATGATTGTGGCGTCGTAATGCTCTGTGCTCCCTAGTTAGCAAGGGACCCCTGCGGGACATTGTCCAGTCTGAGTCTCCTCCATGCGCAGCACAGGCGTGTGCAGGACAGGCGCCCAGTAAACGTTTAGCAAACAAATGAGTGAATTAATTTCTGGACTGGGAAATGAGGGTATGGATGGCCAAGGAGAATGGAACCCTAGTCCCCTAGAAGGGCTCCTGTTCCCGTCTCTCATTTTGCGGAAGAGAAATGGGATGTTCATAAAGGGGCAAGCTTAGTAAGGACCTCATGCCCAAAGCAGTCAGGACCCATGGGCTGGCCGGAGCACCAGGCGGGAAGCCAGAGTGCGGCCCCAAAGCACTTGCACATTTGGTGGCGCAGGAAACCCTCTCACCTCCACTTTACAGCTGCGACAACCTGTTACGTTTAGGAATTAATCGAAGTCTCCCGGACTTTTGTTGATGTTTAACTAAAGCTTAGGCTATTCACAGCTGTGCCATGTTGTCTGAGGTTGTTTGGAAAGTGTCAGGGAGGCTCTGGTGGAGATGCTCGATCCTGGACATGCTGTTGTCATTTCTGAGTCACAGTGTATGTCTCTGAGCTGGGAGGAAGCGACCGCCCCCCTGCAGGGATCGCCAGTTGGCTGTTGTGATGAAAGGCACCTTGTAGATCTAAACCTGACTTGAATCTTTGCTGCGGCCTCTGCCGTGGAAGCATCTTTGAGCACTTGCTCCGTACGGGAGGTGGGGAGGGGGGGGGTTGGCCCTGACCCCTGCCTGGTGGGAGGGCACAGGTGACTTAGCTGGAGTGAAACCCTGCTGGAAGCAGCCAGGGCTGTGGCCGCCCTCAGCAGGATCTGGGTGTTTTGTCCGTAGGAGGCTGCTTGTGATTCTGGGCAGCAGATGAACCAGGCTAAGCTGGCTGAGGTAGCGTCTGTGGCCTCCAGAGTCTGCGCGGGGAAGCACGGGGGGGTCCAGTGCCCAGATGTGCCATGCAGACATCTGGACCAAAGGTGGATATAGCCTGACACTTCTTCTGGGGCTTGGGCCTTCTCATGGGCCCTGGACGTCAGCCCAAGCGTGCTGTGTGGCCGGCTCCCTAACAACAGGGGAAGCGTGACACCGGCAGTGGGTCCGGCCTGGTGGACAGGACCTGGCCGCAGGACCTGGGGTGAGTCGTGTGAGTCTTGGAGAGGTGCTGTGTGGGGAGGGCCTCCATCATGCTGGTTGTCTTGGGGCCCTGCCTGGGGTGAGCTCTGCTGGCCTGTCACCTCCTGTTCTTAGCGTAGGGAATCCTCTGTCTGTGATGCTGCGGGCAAAGGGCATGTTTTATGTTCCCTATTTCCTCTTATCCTCAAAATAACCCTGTAAGTTAGGCATCACTGTACTCTCCTCTGTCCTGATGAGGAGCCTGGGGGAGAGGAAGTGACACGCCTCCTGTCCCATGGCTTGTAAGTATCTGAGAGGTGAGTCCCGCCCACACCTGGCCTCCGGTGTGCACAGCTGCCTGGCACCAGGTGGACCGGGGAAGGGCCCACGTTGTGTGAGAGTGTGTGCCCGTGGGCGTACAGGGAAGGAGCCACCGAGGCTGATGGGGTGGGGAGAGGTGTGCAGTGTGGGCCTTGGAGAGGTCTGAGGCAGGATAGCACGTTCCGGGTGGAGGAGGGGCCAGTGCGGCTTGCAAGGCGGTTGGGGTCCTGAATGCCCGGCTGAGACCTTCAGGGGCTTGTCGGGTGCTTGACTCGAGGGGCGGCCTGTACGCGAGAGGCTGTGAGCACGGGGGACACCGCCCCTTCGTGGGCCAGCCGCACTGACCTGCAGTGTTCTCCCACGTGGGCAGTTCTCCCGAACAGGAGGGCTCTGTCATCGCCCATTCTGCACACGAGCAAACCAAGCTTCAGGGAGGAAAGTGACTCGCCCAAGGTCAGGTGGCCGGGAGGTGGCAGCACTGTGGGGGCCATGAGATTCCGGCTGAGGCCTGTCAGATTCGAATCACCATTTTGCAGAGAGTTCTTGGAATGAGCCAGAAGGAATGAAGGGGGATATTGCCTTCCCGTGAACCTCTCCTGTGTGCTGAACACCTCCGCGTGCCAGGCACCCGCCACCACCGTGTGAGCTGGGAAGAGGGCCGCACACCCTCGGCCTGGGCGCCCTCCGCCTGGACCTTGTTTTGCGGGGTGCAGTGCTGCTGGGTGGGATGTGAATGGGACATGTGGCTGGAAGGGGAGATGTGGAGCCCAGAGACGCCACCCTTCAGGGCCGCTGTGTCCTCACTGTAAAGTGGACACAGCGAAGTCTGCAGCAGGGGTGAGAAGTGACAGGCACAGGAGCGGCAGCAGGAAGAGCAGGTGAGACACGGGGGCGCAGGGTGCCGTGCGCTGTTGTCGGCACAGAGGGTGCAGGACGCGGCCCGTGCCCACATCGGAACTGGGGCTGGACTCGCGCGGGGCTCCAGCTGCTCTGCAGGCGCTGGGACAGTGTCCTGGCCCCCGGGGCCCCGGGCCCTGCACCTCAGGCCGGCAGAGCTGGTTCTGGGCTGGAGAGGAAGTGAGACCGTCCGGGCGGGTAGCTGTGCCTCTTTCGCTTCCTGGGCCCTTTTTTTTTTAATTTATCTTTACTTTTGAAAGTATTACAGCTGTTCTTCCTTTTTCCCTCCACTGACTCCCTCCTCCCAGCCCCCCAGTCCCACCCCCGCCTTCTCCTCGCCATCGAGTCCCGGGATGCATGTGTGCACATAAGTTCTTTGGTTTATCTCTTCCCGCCCCCCACTTCTCCCCTCTCCT